TGGCGTTCTACTTCGTTTGCACACTACCTATCGACAACCCCACATTTTTCAACGTCTACCGTATTCGACATGCTCTGCGAGTTTGGTGACCTGTCTCCGTAACATTGGCTTCCACAGTGGAAGTTCCACTCTTTCCGACCCATTGTCTCGTTATGCACATTGGGGGAGTATCGCCTTCTGGCTCGGTAACAGTGGGCAGCGGCTGCTGCCCACTGCTGCCTCAGTCTGCGGAGCTCGTTTGCTTGCGTCGCTTCCCCACTGTTCTTAGCGCGAGTTAGCGAGATCGTAGTCAGAGTTTTATGGGGCACGCATGGGCACATGCCCACGTGAAACGACAAGCCAGGTCACGTGAGGAGTCCACATCACAGTTCATTGCTAGGGTTTCACGTTCTTTCGGTAACATCAGGATGCGATTGGACTTGATTGCAAGTTGATAACATCCTCGACAAACTCATCATCGAGCGCAGATGCATGTGTTGGGTTTCTCACCGGGGGTGAATGGCTTGCCCAAGAGGACGTACCAGACGGCGCCACATTTTCTGCTGTGAGAAGAACATAACTTTTGCTAACAAGTCTGTAATGTTGTTGTGAATCTCCATGTGGGTGCGGAGATAAGGTACGTGCCCGCTTCGCCCGAGTCCGACTGGCAACACTAGACATAGAGGAAAGATGGAAGTACGTACTGACGATACGAAGCAATAAGAGAGCTCAAGTAGATCGAGCATAGACCAGAAATAACGAGATTAGTTAATAGTGCACGTACATCATCAGAAGGTCAAGAAGAAGAAGATGCGCATGCGTTCTACCGGTAATATTCACGCTGATGCGCATGCGTGCATCATAGAAATAAGAGACAGCGCGATAGCATCAGCATTCTCCGCCCCTGTAGCTGGCGAGCGCATGTGCACGCCAGGGGGCGGGCGCGCGGAGCCAGCTATGTCACGTCACGTGACGCGGTCACGAGGGGGACGGGGAGATGAGACGGTTGTGTAGCTGGCGAGCGCATGTGCACGCCAGGGGGCGGGCGCGCGGAGCCAGCTATGTCACGTCACGTGACGCGGTCACGAGGGGGACGGGGAGATGAGACGGTTGTGTGTGGCTTGGAGCCCCCTAGATATCTTTACAAGTTAATCGCTCTTTACATGTCGAGTTTGTCACCTCAGAGTCCGGAGGCTACCAACAGCCCCTGTAGAATTGCGTAGAGCATCCCTCCGAGCAACCCTAGCCGCACGATCGGCTGACTGTTGAGGATCTTTTGGAGCAGGCACCGGAGGAACAGCCGGTGTCCAAACGCGACTTCTCGGCAGGAGAGGGGCTTCAGCGAACTTGTCGGCTACCTCCTCCGGATCCACATCGGTAGCACGAGTGAGATTGAAGACATACTGGACCTCATCTGCCTGGCCAGCCTTGGCACACTCAGGCCTCAGCCTGGCTATCTGAGCACGAATCTCCATAACTTTGTACAAGCGGGAGGACCACGACATAGTAAGCTTGGCAGATGGACGATATACACGGACAATATCATCGCAAACTATTGCGTCCCCCACCGGCTGACGACATCTCTTGGAGGCATCCAAGTTATCGAGTAGGCGTAACCGATGCACATCCCAAGCGCGGAGATACTCCTTGAATAACCTAGCAGCTTCAACTTGGCGAGCTTGACGCATATGCAACGCTGTGCGAGATGGGCCTGCATCAACATAGTGTCGCTCCAAGTAAGCTTTCAGCTCATCCGTCATCTCATTAGTAGGCCTCCACGTAGGGGGAGGTGAGGAACCACATAGCCGAACCAGATCACAGGGAGTGAATCGTTCCCCATCCACACTGGCAAGCGGCAAGGTGGCGTTATTACACACCCACACTGCCTGAGGAAGAAACTGAGCCCAGTCGGTATCTTCAGCATTATTGACAGCAATTAATTGGCGCAACAAAAGATGCAACAAGTGGTGACCGGGCTCCCACCAAGCCCTAATAGCTCCATAGGGAGGATGTTGAACACATACCACTCCGTATCTCTTGCAGAGCGATCGGACCTCACCCAGTCGGAGCACAATATCCGCATCACTAGCCAACGCCATCGGGAATCCAAAT